ACAGTTTGGTCAAAGCCAACAATACCTTCCCCATCACCAATCGATACACTGACGCGGCGACTCGGCCTTTGTTGTTACGGAAGGGCGTGTACCCGTACGAGTACATGGACGATTGGCCCAAGTTCCGACGAGCCACGATTACCCCCTATCGACCGCTTTTACAGCCATTTGACCGAGTCCCCTATATCGACTTACGACCACACCCAGAACGTGTGGGAAAAACTGGGCTGTCGGCATTTAGGCGATTATCACGACCTGTACTTGAAAACGGACGTCCTGCTCCTGGCCGACGTGTTCGAGACCTTCAGAACGAAATGTTTGAAACAGTATTAACTCGACCCTACCTGGTACTACACCAGCCCCGGTCTCTCGTGGGATGCGCTCTTGAAGAAAACCAGAGTTAAACTGGAATTGCTCACGGATTACGACATGCACCTGTTCGTTGAGAAAGGCATGCGTGGTGGGATTTCCATGGTCTCCAAACAGTACGCGAAAGCCAACAACCCATATGTGGAAGGTTAGGACTCGAGCAAGCCCACCAACCCCCCTCCTCCTCAACCTGTACGGCTGGGCCATGAGCCAGTCTCTACCTACGGGCGGGTTCGAATGGTTGGACGATGAGAACGTTATCACGAGCATCGCGCCGGATTCTAACAAAGGCTACATCCTCGAAGTGGATTTGGAGTATCCCGCGGCATTGCACGCTGCTCACAACAGCTATCCGCTGGCTCCCGAACGGTTGAAGGTGAACCGAGACTGGATGTCAGACTATCAACTAACGTTGTTCGGGCAAAAATAAGCTGGCCAACGTGGAAAAACTTGTTCCGAACTTGATGCGCAAGACCAAGTACGTGGTGCACTATCGGAATCTGCAACTGTACTTGTCAATGGGCATGAAGCTGACTAAAATACATCGGGTGCTGCAATTCGATCAAAGTCCCTGGATGGAACCTTACATTCGGCTGAACACCGAGATGCGAAAACAGGCCACCAGCGACTTCGAGAAAAACCTCTACAAACTGATGAACAATTCGGTGTTCGGCAAAACCATGGAAAACTTGAGAAAACGGGTGACGGTCAAACTCATGCGATCTCACGAGGAAGAAAAACTCAGGAAACTCATAGCCAGCCCGGCCTTCAACCGGAGCAAGCTATTCAATAACGACTTGGCAGCGCTACACATGAACAAAAGTCATATCTAGCTCAACCGGCCTGTCTACGTGGGGATGAGCATTCTCGACCTCTCCAAACATTTGATGTACGACTTTTATTACAACCGACTCAAACAACAGTAGGGTGATCGAGGTGAAGTGCTGTACACGGACACGGATTCACTGCTCATGGAAATTCGTACCGAGGACGTGTATGGGGACATGGTGAAACACATCGATTTGTACGACACCAGCAATTACAGAGCAGCCAGACCACGCCCTACACAGCACGACCAGTAAAAAGGTCCTTGGCAAGATGAAGGACGAATGCGCGGCGACACCCATCGTGGAATACGTCGGGTTAAGACCTCAAATGTATTCGATTCAAAAAGCCGATCACGATGAAATCCGAAAGGTGAAAGGGGTCAAGAAATAAGTGGTGAAACAACTCATCAAACACACCCTCTTCAAACAGGCTCTTTTCGATAAACGCATGTTCAAACACCCCATGAACGCGTTGAAAAGCGACAAACACAACATCTGCGGCATCACTCTCAACAAGACCTTGCTGTCGCCCTTGGATACCAAACGATGGATTGCGAAAGATGGCATCCACACTTATAGCTATGGGTACCAACAGTAGGTCTCGACGCGTTGGGAGTTTCTGAGACCCCCAATAAAAGGAAACTCCACTCGATGCATCGAGACAATTGAATGAACGATAGCGTGTATACATAATGGAGAAGGTTTACTACAGCCCTCAGGGTTACTATGAAGGTGTGGGTGCCATCCCGAAGCCCGCCAAAGCCGCTCACGTCTCCAAGGATACCGCCAAAGCTTGGCTTAAGAAACAAGCCATCTGGCAAGTGTACCTGCAGGCTCCCTGATACATCCCGAGAAGAAAGTTTGACATTTCCATACCCAATCGTACCCATCAAACCGATGTTTCTCCCGCATGACAGGGTGAGAAACAAAACGTTCAAGTACGCCCTGAATATCATGGACGTTGCCAGTCGCTATAAGGCAGCAGAGCCGTTAATGACCAAAGATTCGAGTCAAGTCGCTATGGTCTTAGAACGTATTTACAAACGCAGTCGCTTGACCTGTCCGACCGAATTACAAGTTGATCCCGGATCGAGATTGATCGAGAAACGGTTGTTCAGACGCGTCCTCGTTCAGGCCTCGATATTTATGCCGCCCTGCGTCAAGTCATAAGTCGGGGGAAATTTACTAGCCTGTACGATAGTTTAGGTCTCGTGGGCACCGAATGGTTACAACGCCTCATGGATACGTTATTCAATTATAGCTTCGAAACCCGATAATGCGATGTCCTGTACTCCTTAATCCACTTCGACGAGTTCATGGCAGACCCACTCCATAAAGTCGTCGCCGAATATTACGGCTACATTTAAATCCAGTCCAAAACCCGTTGCAAAGCTCGGCCGCCATCTTTGTTTGACTTAGCAACTCAGGTCTAGGCTGGCGGCACATCGAAGGATGCCTCTCGCTATTTTTTTAAGGGGGGCTGGGAGGCTTTTTATTCCCACAAATAAGCCTCTAAGCAGCATCTGATGCAGAACCCCCACAGTACTACTACTCCCCTGCATGAATTCAACGATTTATGCACAGAGACAGTAATTGGAGTATTTGCAAAATGTTGTGCTTTCAGTAAATTTATGGATTGTTGTCATCGGGCACATTCTGTTAAAAGAGAACATGACCGAAGACGGGTAATGTTTTACACGTCACCACAAATACCTTCAACAGCTTTGGATACTGCAAATGGATTTATTTTGAGAGGCAGACCATCATTGCCTTCTCCAACTAGAAAACGTGGCCATGAATTAACATTAGTAGAAGATTCATTGTCAGAAGATGAAACAGTATCTGTCTCCAAATGTCTTCTTTTATTTTTCCTGCGAGAACCAGTGAGTATTTGTGTAGCCATAATGAGAGAAATAGATTCAACATCCCTGCTCCCCACCCAACATCGAGTGTCAACAAGGACGGTGTCGAAGTGGAAACTGACTATGGAACACCAGGGTTAAAGGGATGCTATACTCGAGCAATACAAACACAGGTAGCTAATGTAGCCAAACAGAAATAGAAGTCAGGCTGGTTTTGCCCTTGACAGTTATCTGAAGACAATTAGAACCAGGAGGTCAATAATGCCAGATTGGCCCATGAGCCACTGCCTTCTGGCATAGGACTCTAGACAATATAATATATCAATGATATATAATCAGGAAATCGAAAAGGCCAACACCTCAAAAATGAGGAAAATGTGCAAAAATATTCACCATGCACAGGGCTTGACGTGACAAGCCAATTGATAGAATCGGACCAATTCTACCACCGGTCTAGGTGAAGTAAGGGCCAAAGTGGTGTGTTGGGCAAAAGGAACACAGTTCCAGGTTCCCTAAACCACCAGAATCCCATCCTCCACTCACACAGGGCGTAACCCCTGGCAAACAGGTTGCCCACTTTGGTCATATGACCGGCAATGGGGTGCTGTGGACCAATATGCCACTGAGTCCACACTGGGGGTGAAGAGCCATTAGTGTTACCCACCACGAGGAGTTGCTCTTCAAGGATGCCTGAACAGGAACGACTTTTTATGGATAGACAATTTCTTTATTGCAATGTAAGCGATGTTTCAGTGTAGATGCTAAGATCACCTGCTTGATAAGTGTTAGCATCTACACTGAAACATCGCTTACATTGCAATAAAGAAGTTGTCTATCCTGTAAAAGTTGTTCCTGTTCATCATACCAGCTTCTAAATGCCACATAAAGAAGTTGGAAAGAATGTCATAACTATGAAAGCATTAATGACTTTGTTATTATTGTAGCAGGAGGCAGAGAGTTTTCTGTTTCCAAGTTGTGCTACATTGATCATGTGTTCAAACTGCATAGGATAACATTGAGTGAGTGAGTGAGTTTTGTTTTACGCCGCACTCTGCAATATTCGAGCTATATGGCGGCGGTCTGTAAATAATCGAGTCTGGCCCAGACAATCCAGGGATCAACAGCATGAGCATCAATCTACGCAATTGGGATACGATGACATATGTCAACCCAGTCAGCGAGCCTGACCAACCGATCCCATTAGTTGCCTCTTACGACAAGCATGGGTTACTGAAAATGAACTCTAGCCCAGACCTGTATGGGTCAGGATAACATTGGGAACAAGATAAATAGGTAGATATTGGTAAGGGCAGATGTCACTTGATTTGTCAGATCTTCCTGTGTTTGATTATGTTCAGGGATTGGAAAGTTTCGGGGGCATCAAGGAAACTTAGGTGATGTGTCTGCCTCTTGTTTATCCCTTCTACTTGTGCATTTTTCTAAAAGCTTAAAAGTTCATATTAAATGAAAAGTAAAAACAGAGGGGATATGGCATATCAAAACATTTTCTTGTACCTTGGTATAGCCGTCTTTGATATTTGAATACCCATGCAGTTGTATCAGTAGGTTCTGGTTCAGTATGAGAGTAATGGACGTGTTTTTCTGTTGTTTCTTACAACCACCACTACAAATAAGCAAGAAGCAAAACTTTTGCAGGCGGCTATGATATCTCAAGATAGTTTACTACATTTTAACATCATTCATGATTTGCTAATTGACTTTGTAACATGTATGAGACAAGAATCAAATTCTTGCTCAAAAGGTAATCACTTAAATAATATGAGCTTCCATCTCTTTTTTTACCCTGGTTACATGAAACTGTTGTCCACTTATCCAGTTGAGCCACACTCTCATGGCAATGGGTATACATGATATGATATCAGATGCTAATCTACATTTCACCAGAGAAAAATGTAAGTTTGGTACGGATTTGACATTTCAGTGTTCACTACAAAGAGTATCTGGTTGGCCTAATTAACCGACACAAGCTGGACCCAGTGAACATTATGAATACAGAGCAGATGCATCGACTCATTTCCCCGAACAGAGATAGCAGAACAGAAGAAGAATGACACAGAAACCCAAAGCCAGTTTAACAAGAGACTGATTACAGTAAGTGCAAATCTGATCATTTCTTTCCTCTTTGAATAATAGTTTTCACTCAACACATCTGTAAATGGTTGCATCATGTTAGCCTCAATGGAACTTTGAAGAACACAAATGAAGGTTCTTGTACCACTCTAAAGGTCTTTCTCTTCATTGCCTTATTGCCTCTTTTGTTGAAATGTCAGTTTAAACTCATGAATACTTGGACTGAACTTGAATATTCCTCAGATGTTTTACCTTTTTGGGTGTAGAGGCCATGGGGCTCAGAGATGAGTGTGTGAAATATGTCCAAAATGATGGCACTGTATGGTTTTCTACACCATTCAGTTTTGGTCATTAAGTACACTTTCTTGATAACGATTATAGTTTTCAGCATGTGTAGATTTACAAGGTAACTATAGTCCTTCACATAATGGCTGAAATTGTTACTGGTGTGCAAACTAAAAGCTCACACAGCTGAAAAAACAGTGAGCTTTTGTGGTGTTGTTTTGTCCATGGTCCATCCATAGCAAGATAAGCTTTTGCATTTTTGGCATATTCTTCACAACTGAAAGACCTGTGAAACTAAATCGATATATGAAGGACACTGTAGTGTCTCACAGTGTCAACTGTGCTCACAGAAATCTGATCCTGCACACATGGCCATCATTGGAACCATATTAAAAATATCATTTTTGCCCATTTCTGTCTTATAATTGTGAAATTTAAAATGCATCGAAGGTCAGGATCCTTCTTGAGATAATTGTCCAAGAACACATGCCATAATTCCTTTTGAATTTGGTGCACGGATGATCAACATTAGGAAATATCCCACAAAAAGACTTATTTCATATGCAGCTGTGGAATTCTGTTGTAAGTTACAAAGCATCTGCCAACACATCAACAAACCTGGTCAATTAATAAGTGACATTTGAGATACATTATCACTAGACATAATGATTTACCATTTGAATTGTATGTAGTATAAAGGTATAAATTTCTAAACTTATCCTATCTCACGGTATGCACCTCTCTCTTCTTCTTCGACCCATATGTGGAAACGTGCTGTAGGCTAAGTTGAATCAAATCTTTCGGCCTCTGTCCCACCTGACCTCTGCCCCCACTCTGATAGCATGACCTGTCAATCATCTCTATAAGCATGCAGTCATTCTCGTCTTGGAGCTTCCAGTAATCTGTGATGTGGGGCAGGTCGGGTGGGAATCCATCGCGTGAGATAGAATCACTGCCCTGAACTCCAGAACTTTGATGTGGCTTGTGTGGTCTGTGGAAGACCACAGCCCTGCCACCTGCTGATCGAGAAGGTGAGCTCCCCACCCGTGTAGTGAGGCGTTGACGTACAGGTGATGTACTGAAGCAAACGGCCTTAAGAGACTCTGCCGCAAACATTCAACTCGTCCAACCACCACTGGAGATGGGGATGGAGAGCTGGAGGAAGAGAGATCAATGTGTGAGGGACGCCGATCCTGATGTGTGGACATAGTTTGAGCTATCCCCTGAGAGTCAAAGCTGGAGCTGACATCAACAGACCCAGAAGTTCTTGCCACTGATGAAGAGTCCTGGGTTGCGAGAGCGCTACAAGTACCATAGAAACTCCAGCGCAGACATTCTGTTTGTCGAGCCACCACTGAAGGACTGGACGAAGTGGTTCTGGAAGGCGAATCAATTCCCTCGGGTTCAGTTGTCGGCCTCGAGATACGGGCGTAGAAATCGCTGTATCGGCCTAAGCTGGAGATGGCTTGATGGGGCTTGAACTGATGTCAGAAGGCCTAGCAACTATTGCCACTGTAGAATGGATCTCTCCTGTCAATCATCTCTATAAGCGGGCAGATCGCTCAGATGATCATGTGACTGTCATTCTCTTTCTTGTTGCCCACTGGTTTGGACGTGTGTTATGCTCTGTCTGCCACTCGTCTCTACTTTTCATCATGAGGAAAGTAATTGATCTTCCGGAAGAGATAACACTGTGACAATTACAGAAGTATTTTTTCCTGCCGCTGATCCTCACACAATGTGCGCTGATTTTATTGGATGGTGTGACGGGTCTTCACTGTTGCTCTTATTGTGCCAATTTGGACAATGAAGCATTCTCCGTTATTGTGGAATGGGCACAAGATGAGTGGCAGAAAGGGGCTTTCCGAGGGACCATCCTCATCTCAATATTCGGAGTGAGATCGTCCGTACCAAACAGCTTGCCGTTTATCACCATCACCAGACGAAGATTTCTCGATGCAGCATCAGATTCTTACTTCAGTGAGAATTACGTTGGTTATTCCGACCCCAGACTTTGAGTCCAGTATCAGGACAGGATGCCTCTCCCCACTTGGGTAGTGAACTTCATACTTCGCCGTCACAGTCCCGATTGACAGTTCTAGTGACTTTTTCTCAAACACCTGATACGGCATTGTCAGCGCCTACTGGCAATGTGTCTCTATTTTTCTGGATCGGCAATTAACTTACCTACGATGATTTATTGTAGTGCAAGCATGTCTACAGCGATCCCTCCAACTCCAGTGATGATATCAATTTCAACAATCCCTGTTAGTTCAGCGTTTTCCGCATAGTGCACTACTTCCATTGCGCCGATTATGTATGGGTCGAGTGTTCACTCCAGTGTGTCGTTCTCACACAATTCGACGCACCAGAGTGGTTCTACTGCAGTACGCTTCTCTTTGGTTTGTCACTGCAGGCCAAAGCGCCCGTTTCAGTTCGGTCCGGCATTTTGTACCAGTGCATCGCTCTCACATAGGGAAGAAGAGGCCAGTGCACAGTTTCACTTCAGTTCACCGCTCTCATTCAGTCCAACTCATTAGCCCAGTGTGTCGTTTTTGATTGGATCAACGCTTCAGACCAGTGCTCCATTTTCGATTTGAACAACGATTCAAGCTAGTGAACTGTTTTTTCGATTGGAACAACTTTCAGTCCAGTACACCATTACTGTATGGTACGGCGTTTTAGACGAGTGCACCGGTCCCGATTGACTCAGCTCTTTAGATCAGCCGAACCAGATCACTTGGCCGAACCGGATCACAGTTCCGAACCAGATCACCTTTCCAAGCCGGATCATCGAACCAACCTAGATCTCAGAACCGATCCTAGTCTCAGAACCATACCAGATCGCCGCTCCAACAGTATTCGCCGATCCGACAGTGTTCGCCGAACTGTCAGCATTGGCCGAATCATCTGATTACCTCTATGCGGCTACTGTCAACATGACTTTGTTTGCTTGTTCGCAAACTACATTATCTACAGTGATTTTTTTCTACTGCGAGTTTAGCTTTAACAATTCTTCCAACTTCGGCGTTGATACCTCATTTCTACAGTTTCTACCGGTGCTCAGCTTGGCTTTGGGGTTATGCTTCTGGCTTCTGCGGTGTCTATGTACGGACAGAGCGTTCACTCCAATGCAACACTTTCATTCAGAGTGCACCTTAGGTTTTGATTGGCTCGTCTCTACACACCAATGCGCCGCTTCAATCCCATGTTATCTACTGGTATGCCGCTCGTATCCAGAGCGCCACTTTACTTCAATGCGCCGCTCTCTTATGTATCAACGCTTCCATCCAGTGCGGCACTTCCTGTTAGTGCATCGTTTTGACATATCTGTCCAGAAACTTGCTGATGATGTAAAGGAATGGTGATGAGGATGACAAAACAGGCCTCAATTACACCCAGCGATACACCATAATGCTGCTACGAGTAGTCTGTAGTAGCAGGACTCAGTGAAGCGTCGTAAAATATTCCTGAATATCAAGCTGGTCATGTACTGCACAACCGGGTGGTTGTAGAGCTGATATCTTCGTCAAAGGGTAGATTTGTTGAAACGAATCATTCATTAAAGGTGAGGATCGGAAGGTAGATGACGTAGGAATCTTGAAGATCCAGGATCGTCAATCGCTGCTGTAATTTAGAGGCCTGCACTACTGACATAACTGCTACCTCAGCACAACCAGCAGAGTTTCTGCGTGTGGTACCAGCAGTGATGTTTTGTCAAGTAGCTAGCGTCCCTTACTCCGGATTTTATGGGTTGGGACTCGCCTGGTTAATCGAAGACTGTGTTGTCCGGATTTGTCACTATTGCATTGTGGGTAGCATTCTCGATCACTTGGCTGAACCGGATCACAGTACTGAACCAGATCATCTTTCCGATCCAGATCATCGCACCAACCTAGATCTCAGAACGATCTTGGTCGCCCAACTGAGAGAAACAGTTTACTGAGGGTGTCAGACAGAATCGCCCGAGAACGCTTTAACTTTGGCTAGGGTTACTCAGTTCCTAGCTTAAAGGGCAAGTTTACACGAAAATAAACCTTTTTGTCTTGCACTTTTTCATAATTAAAAGTGTTTGTCAAGTAGTTTTATAGCCAAACCCATACATATATCAGAAGTAACTAATTTATTTTTTTGGTGTTATATCAATTTATATTTTCCACATTCACTGAGAGTTCTGTGTCCACAATAAACACACTTTGGCTTATGTCCCTTCGAAATGACGTCATTGGTACCAGACTGATAAACGAATGATGTTGTTAGAACTTATTAGACCCATTTTTCATGTGATGCAGGTATAGGTGTGGTTCTTGTGTATCGATGCGCAGGCTACTGTTTTAATCCACCTATTGCCTGGCCGTCAGCTGGCTATGTGGTCAGTTCTACACTGTGATGACGTTGCAGTTTGAAAAAAACGTATATATGGTACAAAAAGTGTTACCACGTAACAAAATTGTAAAACATTCAACCTGAGTCGGTCGTCTTTCCAACAGTATCTTCTTTCACCAAAACTAAAATGTATTATGCACTACAACTAGCTGCCATCCGTGCATGTGCGGCATTCTACGTTTGCTACTCAATGTCCCTCTTCTTCCACCTTCACTTTGATATCGAAACCATATCCAAATGCATCACGAAGATAAATGCAATTTGCAGTTTTGAATTCTGTTTGAAACTTGTTTTGGGGAGAATTGAATTTAAAAGAAAAAAACTGTATCATTGTGATCAGCGGTATTTTT